CTCTAAAAATAGAAGGGGGGGGGAAAACTGGAGAGGAACAGAGAATGGGGGGGGGAGAGAAAAAAGGTCAAAGGAGAGAAAAGACAAAACCCCTAAAATAGGGGCACTTTTTCATTTTCATAAGAAGTTTAAAAAAAAACTACAATACATCTTTCCCCGTAAAATGATGGCGCACTCAGGTCTCTATGTTGTTTTTGGGGACCCCCTTTTTTTTCCTCTTTCGCTCTGGTATCTATGTGAGAGCTGTTACGGCAGGTATACCAGGATTCATTCTCATAACATGGCCAAGCCATTTCCATCTTCTCTTGGTTATCATACTGTCTAAAATGTCTTGATTTGTGACTTGAAGTAGTTTAGTGTTTGAGATTGTATCTGGCCAGAAGATTTTGATACAGCTTAAATATTGTACGTGGCTAGCCCACAAGACTACCAGGAAAGACTGGTGACGCTCGGGAAAGACCTTTTGACACCTATGGAAAGACTGGCCCCCGGTATCGCAGGGGGGGGGGGGGGGGGGGGGGATTAACTGACATCTGGAGACAGATGTCGACTGTGGACCGGGTTGATCACCTCTAACACAGTATAATACCTCCGATTTCGCAACCAATATAGAAAGATGCCCCCAGGGCCCTTCGAAAGAGGGGGAGAATGAAGGGCCCAATCAAATTGATACAAACGGTGACGACAATGCTAGCCCCCGGACTCAGATTCTTGCCCAACGTCTGGGCTGGCTCTGTACATGTGGGAAGAGCTTCACGGGGTTGCATGGTCTGAGAACGCATGCCGGAAGGATGAAATGCGAGGGTGCTCCACACAGTAAACGCCGTCGCAAAACTACTACTCCTGTGGTAGTTTCTGAGTCGTTAGGGAACGACGGGCAGGGTGTTCCCCACTCGCCCGGAGAGGCCCATGACGTCGACTGTGGAGGCGCACTTTTGATGATTCCCGAGGAAGTGCGTTCCAAAATCAGGTTTCCGCCTGCGAGCGATAAGGTGGAGTGGTGTAAGTTAGAGGGTACATTATGTGAGATACTTAAACATGAATTAAAAAAGAAGTCGTTAGGCTACAAGCTTACAAAATTTGGTAATGTAATATATGAACACGGCTCCCGTGAGTTCGGGACAGTGGAAAAGGCACAGCCGGGTGCCAAGCAGAATACTAGCAGGAGGCAGAGGGACATTCTGAAGTCTCGGGCAGATAAGAATGCCCTCAGAAAACGGTTCAAAGCAGCTACAGGCAGCGAACGGGCGGGGCTGCTTGAAGTCTGGTTGCATTTAAAGAACAGACACAGTGCCCTCTGTCGCGCTGGGCGTTTCTGTAAAAACAGGAGAAGAACCAAAAGGGAGCGAGAGAAATTCTTTAGGGACCCGTTCCAGTTTGCCTGAGGTCTATTCGAGCAACCGAAGTCTGGGACTCTGGTGGTCAGTAATGAGGAGCTTGGGTCACATTTACGCAAAATGTACTCTGACAGAAAGAGGAATGAGCCTCTCGACAACAATCCAGAGATCCTTAGCGGCCTTAAGCAGCCTGAGTTGCCGAAGGTATCATTTAAAGTGATACCCCCCCCCCCTTTTTTTTTTGGTCTGAGGTTGAGCAAGTTGTGAAAAAGGCCAGCGGCAAGTCTGATCCTGGTCCGAATGGTGTTCCGTACGTTCTTTACAAGCGTTGTCCGAAAATCCTACGAACGCTTCACGTCTAGTTGAGACAAGCGTGGAGCCGAAAACACATATGCCCAGAGTGGCAACGGGCAAACGGGGTCTACATTCCCAAAGAGCAGTACTCGAAGAGTCTTTCGCAATTCAGGCCCATCTGTTGAACGTTGAGGGGAAAATATTCTTCTCGGCCATGGCTCGCCGGCTCGCACAGTATCTAATGGCGAACAAGTACATCGATACGAGTGTCCAGAAGAGTGGTATCCCGTGCGTTCCTTGGTGCCTTGTACACGCGACCATGATTTGGGAGGCTATCCGGAGAGCCAAGCATGAGAGAACCGAATTGCACGTAATAAGGTTGGACCTAGCCAACGCCTACGGGGCAGTTCCCCATAGGCTACTGTGGCAGGCCCTTCGCATGTTTCACGTACCGGCACAGATCAACGATATGATCGAGCAATATTTCTTTAAGTTCTCTTTGCGCTTCTCTACCTCGACGTTTACCACGAGGTGGACTGAGCTACAAGCTGGGATAGCTATGGGGTGTACGATCTCACCAATACTGTTCGTCATGGCCATGCAGGTCATGTTGGACGGGGCGGCTGGCTACGGACAGGGCCTTCAAATTGGGGATCACTGGATGCCTCCACTACGTGCCTTTATGGATTACACGACTATTATCACGGGCAGTGAGGAATCTGCCTGCCCGATCCTGAAAAGATTGGACCCGGTGGTCCGATGGAGCGGTATGCAGTTCAAACCGCAGAAGTCGAGGAGTCTGTCAATCCTTAAGGGTCGGGTGGCGGCAACCAGTTTTACGGTGGCAAGGAATAAGATCCCCACGGTTCTGGAGGAACTGGTGAAGAGCCTCGGTCGCGTTTACGATTCGAAGTTATCTGATAGAGCGGAGGTCCGGCGAATACACGAGTCACTGGCTACAGGCCTGCTCGCGATCGAGCGTAGCAGGCTGATCGGGAAGTTCAAGGTATGGTGTCTCCAATTCGTGTTGATTCCAAAGCTCCTCTGGCCGCTGTTAGTCTACGAAGTGATGATGACTGCAGTGGAAACCATGAAGAAAAAAAATCAACACAGCCTTAAGAAAGTGGATTGGTGCACCGCCTTGTCGGACTGACGTGGCTCTGTATTGTAAGCAGGCTAAGCTGGTACTCCCGTTCAAATCGATAACCGAAGAGTTTAAAGTCGGCAAGGTAAGACTCGCCATGCTCTTGACCGAGTCTTCAGACCCAAATGTCATCGCTGTCCAGCCCGCTCTAAAGACTGGTCAGAAATGGAGTCCTCGATGCTATCGAATCTGCCCAGAATGCACTAAAATTGAAGGAATTATTGGGATACACTCAAACCGACCGTCGAGGCCTAGGTCACGGGAAGGTCAATTGGTGGTCCAAAGCCACAGCCAAAGAACGCCAAGACATGGTAATACAACAAGTTAGGGACAACGAGCAGTCCAGCAGTCGCAGCAGAGCCATTGGGTCAGCCTGGAGAGCGCATTGCCAAGAGTACTCACATGGGGTGAGATCTGGCGAATGACCCCGCTGCGACTGAGCTTTAGTGTTCGTTCGGCGTACGATGTATTACCGTCCGGTGTTAACATGGTTAGGTGGCCTGCGACTAACGATCCGACTTGCCCGCTGTGCAAAGCGAAGCAGACGCTAGAACACGTACTGTCCGCATGCAGGAAAGCCCTAGTTCAAGGCCGATACGCCTGGCGCCACAACAAAGTGCTAAAAAAGTTGGCAGTTGTTGTGGACCAGGTTAGGACGCGGGCTAACGCTAGAGCCAGTCCTACCGTCGTCCCCATACGATTCCTCAAGGCTGGGCAGATTCGAAAAGGTAAGATCAACCAAGGCGCATTCGCTTCATCTATGCTAGACTCTGCGAGGGACTGGTTACTGGCGGTTGATCTGCCGGGCCATGAAAGGTACACTGAGTCGATCGGGAAGACCGGCCTGCGACCTGACATAGTTCTCCACTCTGCGGAGAAACGGCAGCTCATCCTGATTGAGCTGACTGTCCCGTATGAGTCGCGTATGGACGAAAATCACATGTATAAGCTCGAGAAATACTGTGATTTAGCAGCCAGTCTAAGGAGAGTACGTGTCTTTGCCGTCGAAGTGGGAGCGAGAGGTCTCGTCTCCACTTCACTCTACAATGTGGTTAAAGAATTAGGATTGCGCGGTAATGAACGGAAACGGACACTTAAACGGCTGGGCGAGGTTGCTGAGAGGGCCTCGAGCTGGCTCTGGACGCAACGGAACAACGTAGGGGACGGGCCTCGGTGAGCTGGTCCGGGTGTCTAGTGGAAAAGAGTTTCTCATCCCTTGAAAGTCCATCGTGTCCGAATTGTCTGCCAGTGTTCCTCTGCCACCTGCTTACAAAAGTCTAACATGTGTCCGGTATACCAATCGTAAGCTTGTCGCTCGGTCGTCCAGACTGCTCTAATTATGCTACTGCGACGACTTCTTATCTCACAGTACCTTCTGCAAAATCACCGAGACGTCTTGTCCCTATCCGAACAACATCCGGTAATTTCGTGCAGCAGGGAAACCAACCCTGAGCTTCATGAACTCAGGTGGGCCCACTTTCTGAAAACGTCTAGGAGCTCGTTTGCCGAAACGTTTGTCGACGAGAGATTACTTCTACTGACGATTGGTAGATCCCTGCTGTACATGCTCCCCTGTTGAGTTTCTTCTTATTCTACCAGTGTTTCAAACGCGACAGTGAGGGCAATTTCATTTGAATTGAACTAGCACAGGAACAATGTCTAGTCATCGCCTTGTGAGATGCAATTTTTTTATTTGTAGCCCTACTCTGGCTCTTGCCAGGGGCCGCAATATTGCTCAGCCATAAATATTTAGTCTTTGGGTTGACCAAGCTCATTTTCAATGTCAGGGCGCCGGCACAAAGAAAATATATGGAGGGGTCGTATGGGGGTCATCTCAGTCCCACAGATTTTTTCTGGGGTAGCATCAAAGGGCAGCGGCACTGTTTAAGTGTGTAATAATATTAATAATTTCCTTTTTATTTTTCAGAATAAGTTAAAAAAAAACTAATTTATTAAGGAATTAGAATAAGAATTCAAGTTTTCAGGGTATATATATATATATATATACACACACACACACACACACACAAGCACACACTTTCTTACATCATGCTAATTGCCTTTCAATATCCTTCTTCTTTTTCTTCAGTCGAGATCGGAACTCAAGATGGACGACAAGATGGCTGCCACGGCCATTACAAGAGCTATTCTAATGGGCAATAACCGACTGGTGTTGGAGTGTCTGAAGCAGGGAGAGAATCCCCACCTGACGTGTAGGAAAACGTAAGCCTTCATTCAATCTGCTGATTGACACTCGCCATTATGCTGTTGTTAATGTTCGTGATCCCCAGGATAAATGCGAATCAATAAGTATTTCTGCATCTGCTGAAGGGAATCTTCCGTGTAGAACATGTTGTAAAGGCAACATTAGTCTGTGCATGTTTTCCCCTTTCTCTGCTTCTTAAGGGATAAGGATAGATTGCGTCATCACAAGTCGTTAACTTCCAGCATAGTTAGTGTTTTCTCAGTAAATTAATTTTTTGACTCTGATTTGTGTTCTTCTCAAAGCTATCTGTAAGTTAACTTTTTCCGTAATTCTGTGTGTATGCTTTCTTCTGTCTGTTTCACTATGTTGGTGCCTGTGATTTATCTAAATTTAGGTACCCTATGATTTCACTGACCAGATCGGCAATATAATGAAGAAAATACATTTAACCTGCTCAAACATACGTGTATGTATGTATACATATATATGTGTACACATACAAACACACACACACACACACACTCACACTCACATACACACACATGTATATATGTATACATATACCGCACGCACCATTTCTTTTTATCTATTTCTCCCATACCTTCGCCAGCATCACTATCTAAGTATTATATCCTTTTGCAGATAATAATGTTTTCAAACGTATAATGAATGGGTCGAATGCCTCCATTCCCCCCAACTATATGTACGAGGGGAGACGCAGCCGTGCGTTTGTTAAGTTGCTAGCCTGTGGACAGATTGATAAAGTTTTTGAATCCCAGCGGAAATTAACTTTATAACTGGTTTGGCCACTGGGTTTTTCTAGTTATACATGGACGCCAGACAATATTCTGGGAAGCAAAGGCGACAGGCATAACTTTGACTCCACTACCCTCCCAGTGCCGTTCGGGTTTTTATAAACGACTTGGCTTGTTGCTTATTGTGCAAATCGACATCCTAGTGCATAGTTCCCACCTATTCGTGCTCCGTCCCCGATGCGGCAGCCATCTCAATGTCTTCATGCTCAACATAACCGGTAGAAGTTTAATGTTCATTGAAAAGTCTGTACTTTAATAATATCATACCCCAGATGACGTCACAGGACAGTCCAACATTTTAGAGGGTGGTAAGACTGGGTTTCCCAACTTCCTGAACCCAAAACATTAGAACTGGCCCTAACCTCACCCCACCTACGTCCCACGAGAGAGTGCAGCCTAGGTCCCACGACTGCATGCAACCTATCTACCACCCCTAGAAATATTAGACTGTCCCGTGACCTGTGAATTTTCCCTGTTTGTGGTAGGATATTAATAAAGCACCGGTATATCTTCTGTCTTTCCCTTGGTTTCTTCGTGCTTGTCTTCTTGCAATACCCTATTCCAACAGCCGGTTCATTGTCTCTGACTCATTTGTCTGAAAGTCTCTAGAACGCGGCGCATTCATTATGGTACCTCGTATAACAGATATAGAGCTGCCAGATCGACCCAGTCGTAACTCTTTCTGTCTCAGACAAGGCATAGTGTGTGCTGGGATAATCCTTGTGAGACATAGCCAACAAATAAGTTTTAGCTTCCCTCAAAATGAACGCTAGGCAAAGACACTGTTTTGAGTCGTGGCAAAGTTTTTGCTTCTGCCAGTCGGTGACCGTTGCATTTTTGCTCCATTTGTAGACTGAAAGGAGTGAGTTGAGTGCATGATGTGACCCTTTGAACTACGGATTTCGCTTGAAATGTTTTTTCACCGTGACCAACGTCGTGTTGTGAATTGTAGATTCAGAAAAGGACGTGTGGCCTTATTGGTGGTGCCCTTGTGTGATTAAAATGTATCGCCTATGCAACTGCTGATTTGTTGATTACCTCTGCTACCGTCGATGATGAACTGCATTTCTAATGTCTGACTGTTTGTCCTGGTACTTCTGATAGCCACCCCGTATTCTTTTAATGCGTGTGTATGCTAATGCATAAGCTGAGACAGCAGGCTGTCAATTTTTCCACAAGGGACTGTGATGAACATTCTGTGTGTTTTTCGTTGGCACAGGAACGGAGCAGCTATGAGGTAACCCGTTGGATATGAAGCTGACACTAACATTACCATTACCATTACCCCTGACACGTGGCTGCTTCGCCATTTTTAGTCTCTGTCTATCTTTCATACTTTATGTCCCACTTAGGGATTTGCTGCCAAATCTTCTGGTATCGAAAGAATTAAATTGGTACGTTAAAATGCTTTGGGAATTAAACATACTCCGGTGAAATGTTGACCATGTCTAACGCTGGCTGGTCTTCACAAATTTATGTGTCTAGCACCACATGCTGTGGAGGCTCAATGGCATAGTGAATATACGCTCTCCTGTTCGCCTAAATGTTTTGGGTTCGAACCCGCGCCGAGTCTGATTTGCTTTTCAAAATTGACCATGTTACGAGTTCAACCCAACCTGGAATGGGTCCAGTCAATGTCCTGTGAAGTAAAAGATGTCAGTGGGAGATGCCCACATCATCTAGCGACGGTCGATGTGTCTGTTAAAATAAAATGCTAACATCATGTATTTAATGCGCCATTAACTTTAAAATCTTCTTTCATTTTTACCATATTAAATGTGCGCAAGCTACGTGTAAAGATTCACTGTGAGTTATGTTTTTCTGGTATAATGCGTTTTGTGCAGCGGTATATAACACGGATGGTAGTCAGTTTACTTGTGGGTTGGCGAAACACCTTATGTAATAATTTTACTTGTGTATAGCCAGCTTAACGTGACCGACTACTTATGTCAACGACAAACTTAATTTCTGGTATTGGCTGTCGGTTTTAGCGCCTCTATAACTTCCTTATGCATTTATTTATTGCATGTGTGTATATTTCTGGATAGTGCCAGGAGTAACTGTTTGTTTCCAGCTTTTCAAACAAGACAGTTAGGGACATTAAATTTGATTTTCACTGGCACATAAACGGAGCAATTATGAGCTTGCCCGATTGCAGCGAAATTGAAACCTTGACTAAGACTAAAGATTTTCTTATTTTTTACTTACTATGTTCTTATTTCCATTTTTTTAAGGTGTGAAAACGATTCTTTTACATGCGGTTGCTTACTATGTTCTCGATTCTATTTTTTTGTAAGGTGTGAAAACGATTCCCTTACTTGTCGTTACTTCCTATATTATCGATTCCATTGGTGTAAGGTGTGAAAACGATTCTTTTACATGTGGTTACTTACTATGTTCCCGATTCTATTTTTTGTAAGGTTTGAAAATGATTCCTTTACTTGTGGTTATTTCCTATTTTATCGATTCCATTTTTGTAAGGCGTGAAAACGATTCCTTTACCTGTGGTTTTTATACGTTTATTTCCCCAGGGGTAGATCTTATTTCCACGTTGTAGCTAGCACGGCCACTGCTGATAAGGAGCTGCAATGGGTTCCTGTGGTGTACCAGTTATCCAACGCCGGAGTTGATGTGGATACCAAAGACAGAGAAGGTCAAACAGCAGTTAGAATTGCCATCAAAAGGCGGTTGGTCCAGGTGAGATTTGGGTATGTGTGGCTACCTTCTTTATTCATTGCAGTCTATTAGTATCCATTGCGTAGTTTTTCTTCATTTGCCGAGTTCATTTTGTTTATCATTGTCCCGTAACACTACGTGTCGTTGGGTCACCAGTTTCTGTTGTCTGGTCAGCTCTCTCAACCCTTGGCGGTCAGCTGCGATGGACTTCATGGTTGCATGCCTGAGATCTGTCCAGTCAGTCAGGTTCTGTAACTAGGCCTTTCTTGGTTTGCCTTTTGTCCTCTTTCCCTCTACTGAGCCCTGCAGTATAATTTTTTGTTTTGGAGAGGCCGTTAGATTTTTTAAATGTTTATATCATTGCTTGTTTTTAGTTTTTTTTTTTTTAAAGTTTATTTTTTTTAACGTTGACGTCTATAGGATTAAAATGTATTCACGAACTCTAGACATAGGCATGATGTAATAAAACCCATTCCAGTTGCTTTATTTCTCGTGGAAACGCATGAAAGGTATACTAGCAGCTGTGCTGTAACATAGATTACACAAAACAACATTAGGGACGCAAGAATAGGCCTAGGGTTTGCCAGGAAGTGGTCGATTACGTGACCACGGAGCAAAGCCTGGTAAAGCACGCTAGTGCCGTCTCCGGTGTCATGATAGGAGACATTGTAGCCAATATCTCTCAACAACAGCTTCATGTCTGTTGCATCGGCAGACTGAGCACGCAAGGGCATAATTTGCAGTGACGTCATTCAGCATAACATAGGCACGTATATCACGGCTTGGTGAGACGGTAGATACCACACGCAAAGGTCTTAAGCATACTATGGGGCTCATTGTGTGTGTGTATTTGTATGTATGTGTGTGTGCTTGTGTGTGTGTGTGTGGGAGGGGGGAGGGGTTGCAAGTGCATGTTCACATTTTGCTACCTGGCTCAAAGTGATGGTACCACTATGTATTTCTCGTTACTATTATATAATGGCGAAAAAGCATCACTCTTCTCTCCTTAACGCTACGTGCATGCAAGTTTCCTAACACCTAGTTTAAAGGGAAGCTGAGATAATTCCACAAAGCGTGTTATACACCTTTGATAAGTATGTAATAAACCATTTCCAAGGGGTTTGTGTGACCTTACATAATCCTATTATAATCTGATCGAAAATAAAAAAGCCCATGAATGATTTAACAAACAGTTTAGACGAACTGGGAAAGACTCCAGTTAGATTCAAAAGATACAGATCCTCTTGTGAATCTGTTAACGAAAGCAAATGTACTGGAAATGTGTCAGTGCAAAACTGAAGCTCGACATTGTCTTGTTAAACAACACGCACTATCATACTACTTCCGGTCAATATGGTGGATAGGCGGATGCTTCTCTTTAATAGTGGCAGGTTTTTGCTGCAAACATTAGTTAGCCGTGCATTTTCCTTCCTATATAGGGTAAAAGGATATAGTTCCATTGTCCAGCTACCGGGTTGAATGCATGGCGCGATACTGTGAGCGATACTTTAGACAGCTTTTCTACTGGCGCCCAACATGGTTTATGTTGTGAATTGCAGAATAAAAAATGGCTAGTAGGCTGTTGCCAGGATTACTAGTGGTGGTGCCTTATGCGAAAAACTGCATGTGTAACTATAGATCTGCTGTCACTGCTGTTTCTATCGTCTGCATTTCTAGTGCTTGACTGTTTATGTTGGATCACCTCGCCAAGGAGATCTCACAACATCTTGATCTAACGCTTGATGGTGGAATCGCGGTAGCCTAGTGGCTAGAAATTGACCTTGGTTTCCAGGTAGCTCCAGTCTAAAATGGGTGCCAGGTAATGTCATAGGAAGTAAAGGCGTCCGGCGTGATGCGTACCAAATCACCCGCTGAGTGCCGATTGGTCGTTAAAAATATGAGTCTATTATAAAATATGAAAACATTATGCCTGTCGCATTAATTTCCCAGAATACTATCTGACACCATTGTATAAAATTGATCATACACCTAGTGCCCCCCCCCCACCCCCCCCCCCCCCCCCCCACCCCCCCCCACCCCGACCCAAAAAAAAAAAAAAATTACCTATTTGTCATCTTTGCTTAACACTTTAAATAGTTTCTGCCTGATGTCTTCTACAAACAGATCCTAGCAGCTTTGCTGAAATGTGGTGCTGAATTCAGTGCTGCTGACGAATACTATGCTGATCAAGCTGCTGGAGTGGTCAAGTCTGAGATGATGAATGTTATCAGAAGGTTAACCCCTGGGTACTGGGCGGCTATAGATAACTTCACACACTCAAAGGTATTGGGATTATCCGTTTTATATATTTTCTCCTTGAATGCGAAAAATATTACCACCGCTTTCTAACAAACATGTTGCAAAAAGTGACTCATTATAAACACGGAGGAGGAGGTGGAGGAAGAAGAAGAAGAAGAAGAAGAAGAAGATGATGATGATTATAATGATGATAATGATACTGAAGAAGAAGATGATGACTATAATGATGATGAGGATGATTATAATGATGATAATGATGCCTAAGAAGAAGTATATATATATATATATGCATAGCCACGCGTTGCTGTGACCTAATCTGTCTAAATGGAAAAGAAAGAAAATAGAAATCGTAGGTGTCTAATATGGTTAATTTCAGTTTCATTATCTGCGCCGATATAGAGATAGTCTAGTTTGCCGACTCTAGAACAAGCAACATATTATTGTGTCCTTACATTAGTGGTAGTATAAAGTGTCTTATTAGGTCTTGAAAAATTGTTATTTGTTTATCACATAGGAAAGCTTTCTGTAATTTTTAATGTTTATTACTGTACATCTAAACAAAAAAATATAAAAATTTGTAAAAACGATAATAGCCGAGGTAGCTTTATTAAAACATGAATAAATTAAAAGTGAAAACTTTAAAATCATGTTTTTAACTCTCTCATTAACAGTTTCTGTCATCACATCACCCCCCCCCCCTTTTCTCCCCCCCCCCCCCCCCCCCCCCCCCAAATAAAAAAATAATCGATTACTCCTCTCTCCATCTCAGAAGGATGGGATTTTGATCAACTGTTGATATTTGTTAAGACTCTTTTTTTGGCATCCGTGTCCACAAAGACTAAAACGGGTAGCATGAATTGTAAAGTGAAGTAAATGCGGCCAGTGTAGTATTTACTACATCACCAGAGTACCAGAACTACTACTACTACCACCACCACAAAGACAACACCTAAAATGATGTCACTACTGTCTGTTTTATCACCTTTCTAGGTCGGTGTAAACAGCGGGTCGTGAGCCAGAGGATGTAGGGCCACATGGCTAGTTCTGTCGCCACGAACTGTTCTGGTTAGGATGTTTAAATGTGCCCCCATACAGAAAAACAGCTTCATGCAGATTTCTGAGGTCAGCAGTCAAAGTTCGCCTACCAATAGAAAACCCGCACCGGGAACGCGGCAACAACACACAAATATCGGATCGTCGGGGGAAAAACCAATATACCGATGTGATGGTCCCTAGAGCTATGTAATTCGTGCTTTGAGCGACATTATTATATTAAAAACACGCGCCTATTCGTATGCAACGTTGTATCGAAATTTGAAAGCAATCGCCGAACTTTCAGAGATTAGCTACCGTTAACAAACGGACATTTACGTATACACACACACACACACACACACATATATATATATATATATATATATATATATATATATATATATATATATATAAGTTGAATTCAGAGCAGTTGGGGAGGAGATCAGAACGCCTCTCAATCTGTTCGGAGCGCTGTGATGCTAAGCCTCACTTATCACTAATCACACTGAATTAAGAGCTCGTCTAGAGCTAAATGAGAGGCACACTGAGGAAAAACTAACAACAGTAAAACTAGAATGACCTTGCGCTAGACTTACCAGGTCAAATGAATAATTGTTGGCAACTCTCTCTCCTTCTGTACGATGATATTATGTTATGTTAGCATTGGCGATGGAGAGGGTGATCAGCAAAAACAGCTCATATAGACAGACCTTCCAAAAATCTCCCGAAAAGAGTAATTAGAAAATAATGTGCAAAGATGTAGAGGGAATGGGTTGAGCTGCACGTCACAGCAAAGGATATGACAACTTGATACTAGCTGGATGGGATTATGACTCATTGAAGGATAAAGGGCAAACAAACAAAAAATGTAAGTAGAAGGAAAGAACAACCATAGTCCACAGTGTACCTAACAACCGAGCTCGCCCTGGCTCAGCTACAGGTCCTTTGTTAAACTGCAACGCCTAGCGGCACAGAGCAGAAAGAAGGAAAGAAAAAGACAGACAGACAGAAAATGGTTCAGACTCGTAATTTAGTATGTAGTATTCAACATATGCCTCATTTGTATGTATTTTTCTGGCGATAATATGTGTCTTGATTTTAATATTGTTGACATTTTGTACTAGGTCAACCGTCTCATCAAAGCCTGGTCACGTGTTAACATATCCAGAAATGGCCAAACCCTCATCGAATATGCCAAACATAACGCCGGAGACACGTCTGTAGTCAAGTCACTGGTACACAACGAAGCCTCCATTGAGCTGGCTCATGCGGTCATGGCCGGGGACGCCGAGAGAGTCAGGGTCATACTTTGTGACAGCGCGGCCGATCTGGCAACAACAGACACGTCAGTGAAAAACAGCTTCGTCCCCTTAACGCTTTTCGAGGCCGCCATTCTGTATCGCCACGACAATATACTATCAGTATTAAAAGAAATATCCAGAGCGAAATCATCTACTTTTGTAAAGCCAGATACAAATACGGACTTTTTCAAATCGTCCAGCGGAGACTGTGGATCTAGTTCTTCTCAGTATTTCCGGAAGAAATCCGAATCAGGATCCATGGGTAATCTCAGCAACGTCATTTACTACGGGAGTAATAATTCCGTTGGAGGTTCGGACTCTGTGACGTCAGCAATGTGTGCCATATTTTGAAAATCTTCCAATATCACTCAACGAAAGTCGGGTCTAAACACTACAAAGACATGATTCTGTTTGTACAGACATGCGTACCAAAGATGTATTACTATGTATAGTGATTATAATTGTAATGTATTTACTAATATAATAGATTTTGTACCCGTTATGTAGTTCTGTTAAATGCATTCGAAAATGAATGCCTGTATCGGCATTCTGTTTATATGGCTATCTGTAAGTAACACACGTTTTTTACACATCTAGCTCAACAGGCATATGGTGCCAGACTTGTAGTTTTATAGACCAGCCGGGACTCTATGGGGGATGTCAACAACCACGCTGACCGACTTTACTGCCCAGTGCATTACCTAATACCCATTTTAGGCTGGGTCTGCCTGGTCGGCAAGGTCAGTGTTGAAAAACGATCTGAACCCTAGACCTCTGAACCGACAGAAGAATGTCTTTTGCGCCTGTTAAATCTGTTAGTCACAGAAAAATAAGAAGGAGTAATTCAAGAAAGACGAAGAAATGAGAAGTGCCGAATTCAGACCATGGTGAAGCCTGGACTTCTAGTAATTTCCACTGTTCTCTGGGTAGTATGATCAAAAGCCCGTGTGTATTGTTGCGCATGTAAAAAAAGATCACGTGGCAGTTGGAAATCGAAAGGAGAAGCCTTACGGCGCTGCCTGGGCAAAATTTGGAGTTACAAATCTACCCAGTGTATTTCATGATCCTCGCCGGTGCGACGGAGTTTGTGCACTGCGTTGAGATTCTTTGGACTCAGGCTTGAGTTAGAAGTAGAACGGAGCACTTATGGGTTACTACTCATGTGCTTTGATACTGAACCGTTGTTCAAAGAAAATAAGAGAAGTATCTTGATAACCGCTTATAAGATTAAAAAGATGGCAATATATTGGACAATTCCTGAGGAGAAATGAGCAGAGAAACACCAAAACAGGCACTGAAATGGGAAACACATGGAATGAGGAAACAATAATGTCTAAGAGAAAACCAACAATAAACGTTGAGGACAGAGACCAAAGGGGCTGGATTGAACCCCAACCATGATATCGAAAATATGACAGAATAAACAAAACAATTGTGAGTTTAGTGTGACTTATAAATTATGTACTGATAATGTTGCATAAAATGTTGAAAAGACAGGCAAAGAAAAAAATAATTTGTTTTGCACCTGAAATAAAAAAAATTACCAGCCTTACCAATAGTTCGAACCCGGGTCTCCCGCTTAAAAGCCCAGCGTTCTAGCCATCAGCCAGCAGCTGGTAAAATATAATTAAAATCTATTTATGTTAACTAAATCACAAATTGAATTGATTGCTTGTATCACATGAAGATTATCTGAACCTATTGGACATGGCAGCAGCTTAGTAGTAGTAGTAGTAGTAGTAGTAGTAGTAGTAGTAGTAGTAGTAGTAGTAGTAGTAGTAGTAGTAGAAGTAGTAGTAGTAGTAGTAGTAGTAGTAGTAGTAGTAGTAGTAGTAGTAGTAGTAGTAGTAGTAGTAGTAGTAGTAGTAGTAGTAGTTGTAGTAGTAGTAGTAGTAGTAGTAGTAGTAGTAGTAGTAGTAGTAGTAGTAGTAGTAGTAGTAGTTGTAGTTGTAGTAGTAGTAGTAGTAGTAGTAGTAGTAGTAGTAGTAGTAGTAGTAGTAGTAGTAGTAGTAGTAGTAGTAGTAGTAGTAGTAGTAGTATAGTTATAGTAGTAGTAGCGGCAGCGGCAGCAGCAGCAGTTGTAGTAAGAAGAAGTATGCCAAGGAGGAGGAGGAAAAGAAGAAGGATGGGGAAAGAAGACGAAGGAGGAAGCGGAATGATAAGGTTGAGACGAGTAAGATAAATAGAAGAATACGAGACGATCTGCCATGAATGTGATGGAGAGTTGCTTGATTCCTATACAGTCTTACCATAGACACGTGCTGAATTCCACATTATTCATCTGATCCTTTGGTCAGGGAGTTTCCGTGGCAAAGTGGTCAAGCCGTTTGCCTCGCGTTCTGATGGTCGTGTTTTTGTACAATTTTTACGAAGACCCCTAGGGATCGTCACCGGAGCTACAGAGTTCGTGCTCTGCACAGCGCTCTTGACAGGCGGCTAGCCATTCTGCGGCTAGAGACCGAGCCATATGCGTTAAAATCCAGTGCAATGAAGTCGATCCTGTCTTTAATCCTTTAATCATTTCATCAGGAGCTAATCTCTCATCCCAAGCAGAGGTGGCAGGAACTGATCCGACCGGTGCGCTTTAAAATCAACCCAACCTCTGTGAAGCGGGTACCCGACAGTGCAACAACAAACGGACGAAGACGCGGCTACATAAAAATTACATAAAGGTTACACCACATATTTGTTTCTGCGACAGAAAGATTCTTAGAATACAATGGACAAAAAAGAGGCGAAATACCGATATGTTAAAAGACCCGAATAAGGAAGATTGGCTAATAAAAAGCATCTTGTCTCTGAAGCTGAAATATTGTGATAATATTAAGCGCCATGACGGATTACGGAAAACAGATAATAGCAGAAGGCATGGTACCAGAAAGGAGAGGCAAGGGCCGATCAACACAAAGATGGGCACAGTATATAAGTGACTCCTAGAATATGAAAGTACAAGAGGCAGGAGAACTGGCAAGAGACCGAGTTCATTTTGGACAGACCTTGGTGAGAGCGACGTTCTGCAAAGGGGACATTGCTGTTTGAAGAGTTTAGGTTCCAGAGTGACTGGACAATGTTGAAACACAGTAACAAAAATAAATAATTGGAACTTTAGGATGACCAAAGCCTAAAAAAAAATGTACACGCTGATATTAAAAAATCCGACAATCAATAGCTGGTTCCTTCAGATGTCGGGCATGTATTTTCGATAGCATTTAATTAAAATTACATTTCTGAGAAACTGTTTTTTAAATTAAATTCTGAGTAATATTGTTTTCAGTTGAAGTAAAGTTCTGAACAGTTTTTTTTTTTTTTTTTTTGTTGGTTAACATAAAATTGGTGTTTAATTAACAGTTTCGTTTAAAGGAATGTAAAAGCAGTAATTTTCTGTTAAATATAATCAACATTTAACCATAAGGTTAGTTGCGTATTCCTTATAGAACGTTGCAACACCAACCCCAACAGCCCCTGGCTGTTGTGTGGTTTCTCTAGGCAAATTTACGTCCAGTAGTTTGCCATTGCTTCTGGATGGTCGGCTTTCTTGATACCACTGTCGAAACCAACGCATGGCGCATGGCCCGCAGCTGGGATCGAACCCGGCATCCCGGCATTCCGAAAGCGTTAGCATCGACTTAGCCACAGAGCCGATATATAACCATAAAGAATCCACTATTTTCGTAAATCCAACACTCCAGGTCCCAAGATTGTGGAATCTTTTAATATTAGTGTGTAGTGTAAAAAAAACTTTGTATGGCCGGGGTGCCGGTTTGATCCCAGCTGCAGACGGTTTGTCTTGAGTTGGTTTCGACATAAGTACCGACAGCTAACCGTTCAGGGCAATGGCAAACTACTGAATGTAAAATTTGCCTAGAAAAACTTAAACAGCAAAACATGCTGGGGTTGGTTCTGCAACGTTCTGATATGCAACTAACTAATGTAAAAAAAAGGTCCTTTTCACACCATTAGTGAAGGTACTTTTCCACACCTTTAGGTGTAGTTGGAATATAGGGCTAGACCTATATTTCTATAGATCAGTCAGCACTTTGTGGGTGATGTATTCAGTCTTTACTTCCCAGGACCCCACCTACACCATTAGTGCATAGGCATATGATGCTAGACCTATTATAAAGGCCAACTTCACGCCTGGGGCTTTACCCGTTATTGCGGTATGATAAATTTATGACATCTATTTTTACAAACCATCAATATCAATCTATGGTTTACAATATCGAGTCTTCCAATACAAATGTTGCTATTAAATCTATACTGAATTATTAATTCTTGCCTTGCAAAGTTCATAAACTTTGTACTATGTATAACAATTACCAGTACCCTAATTGTAACTTCTGGAAAGATTAAACGGGGTGTCTGGGATACGGCATATCGGTCGACATCCGATGAATGATGTTGTCAATAAAGAACATTGAGCATTATACGCAACTATATCGGCCCGAATGTTTGGGATTCTAATCAGTATCCTATCAGGAGTTTTATAATTGACCTTAGCTCTTGGGTCAACCAATCCAAAAATAGCAACATTTTGATTGGTTATTGGTCTGTATTGATCTAACACGATACACACTATTCGTTACTGGCGAGAAAAGGCCTTTAATTGCCTCCCCCCCCCCCGCCCCACCCTCCGTCTTTCCAAAAGATTGTGTATAATTGTGCTGTATGGAGACATAGGAATCATAGGCCCTGGCAGCCATGGGACAACCCAAGGGCAGTATTGTAGAATGCGTTTGTTTCCCTTGCAGTATCATCCCTCTCTTTGTCAACTCCACGGGAAATGTAACACCAATACGTTTGGAACAAACTTTGCTAACCAACTTTATAACAAAATAAACCAACATTAGTTAGTTAGTTAGTTAGTTAGTTAGTTGGGTTATCCTCATTGCACTCCAAACATGTCCATAGGTGCTCAGATCCTCCCCTCAGTATGAACCCCAACGTCCGATGGCTAATAGTACCAGTTCTATGTTGATTAACAAGTCTTCTGGCGTAGCTGGTGTGCGTCTCGTTTTTTGCTGTGCCGATCTTAATTCCCAAGTCTGCCATTCTGGCGAGTGATGTGGATTCACTGCCACCAAAGTCCTCTATTCTTCCCATTTCTCTGAGGGCATTGATAATATCAGCATGATCCATAGGCTGACCGTCGGTAGTGATAGCGGATCCAGCCAACCTGTCAGCTCTTTCATTTCCATTGACGCCTGCGTGTCCCGGAACAAAAATAAAGGTGACTCCACGAACAGTTGACTTCTGTAATGATTCAAGCCATTGTCTTCGCACTGAACCTGCCTGAACCCTCCGGATCATACTCATTGAATCACTGAGTATACACACGCGGGTGTATTTTT